AGTTTGTATAGTTCTTATGTTCTTATTGAGTTTGTATAGTTCTTATAAGATTCTAACGGGTCTGGATGCTGTTCAGCCAAATGGCTATTTCAATATTAGTTTAAATACTAGAACTCATGGCCATAAGTGGAAATTAGTGGGAGAACATTTTAAAACAAATTTGCTGAAGCTAAAACTACATTTCTCAGACACTCCTTGGTTGGACTGAAAAATTGCAGCAACACCATCACCTTTGCGATTTGGTTGAGGGTTATGCTTATAACTGTATTCAGCTGGAGTAGATTCATTTAGTGTCAGCATCCAGAGACACAGCCAATGAATATTTTATGTGCCCCTTGGTGACAGACTCTGTACCTGTGTTTACCATGAGGCAACCAGTGGCCGTCCAGACCACCACCTAGCCATCGCCACCTGGTAGCCGCCACTAGTCCTGCACCTGACACACAGGCCACCACCAGAATCAGAATCAGAACAGAGTTTATTACCAAGTACATTCACACATACAAGGAATTTGCTTTGGTGGTTGGTGTCAGACATTGAGAGATAGAGGTGGGTTTATATATAAATATATTTATATTAGTGCTGTCAAATGATTAAAATTTTTAATCAGATTAATCACAGGGTTGCTGTGGATTAATTTTTATTAATCACGATTAAATATCATTCATTTTTAATCTATATTAATTACATTTCATTCTGCATGAGCAAACAGACTCAAGAAAAAAGGGAATATTCGCGCATTCCATTTGCCTCAGGATCCGATTTTCGGATTCCGATATTACGTCACATCTGCTAAAAACTCGGGAAAACCCGAGTCGGATGCGTTCCATTTGCCACAGAAGTAGCAATACCATGGACCCATATGAAAAATCAAGATTTTTTGCTTAGCCGGACAACTTGTCGGATTTAACATACCTCAGTTTAAATGGCCTTTATCTTTGTTCACTTACAATTAACCCGAACTACCGTAAATCCGACATATAATCAGACTAATCATGAAATCCAATTCTAGCCCGGTTAATTGGTAGCCATTGTTAGCAATATCACTTGATAACACATTACGCGCGGTGCTTTATGTATAAAACTTCATAGCAACACGTTCACAGATGAGATGAATGGTATAGTGTGTGCGAATGGTTTAATGAGCCACAAATGAGAAGTAGTGCTTAAACGGTATAAAACTACAACTTTCCCTTCTGTTGATAAAAAATGGCACAGCCATCTTGGATTCTGAACTTGGGATCCTCTGTGCTGCTCCGAGAATTCTCAGATCTCTGAGAAACGGGAGCACGCATGTCGTTACTTCCGGCTTCAAAAACTCGGAATCCGACTCGGAATACAAGTTCCGAGGGCAAATGGAACGCACCAAAACTGCCCGAAATGGGTTAAAGACATTTCAGGGATTTTGAGTCATTCTGCGCTGCAGATGGGTTAATTGCGTTAAAAATTTTAATCAGATTAATCATGATGATGGATTAATCCGCGTTAACCCGTTAATTTTGACAGCCCTAATATGTCAAACGATTAAAATTTTTAATCAGATTAATCACAAGGTTGCAGTGGATTAATTTAGATTAATCACGATTAAATGTCATTCATTTTTAATCTATATTAATCACAATTACGAGGAGAGGTTAGCGGAACTGAATCTGTTCAGCCTTGAGCAAAGGAGACTAAGGGGGGATATGATTCAGGTNGAATCAGGAGGAAAGCATATGACTTTAGCGCAGACTCTGCAGTCAGAAAATGACTCTGACACACACAGGCAGGCAGAAAGGTCAATTAGGCCGCAAAGGGTCAAACGAACACCCAGTAGACTGTCTGATTATGTTTGTGAGTGATATGAATATGGTGAATGAGCTTGACAAGATCAACACTTTAACGTTGCTCGTGATTTTTGAAAGAGAAGTTCACACTGTTTGTGTTGGTAACCATTGAGTTCAACTTCTAGTAAATGGGAAAAACCTTACAGTTCATGTATTTTGAAATGGAAGACATTTGATCCACAGGTGGCAGTCAGCAGAAGACAGAAATGTCTCTATGCTTTAGTAAGAAATCTATGATTATACGTGTGGTAATGTAGTGTTATAAAGCTGGTTGTTTAGAGAAACATACAAAGGATGTTATTGAGATAAGTTAAGCTATGACTCTGATTAGCCTAAAGGATCTTGATATGGTCCCGTTCTATTTTGTTGTTGTAACTAGGAGTTTGATGCCAAGAAAAAGGGGGATGTCATGTCCAGGGTTAACATGCCTCACGTCAGTATGGTCGAAAGGTATTATGGGAGGAAGGAGAGGATCAATAAAGAAAAGTGAAGCGTTCTGAGCGACAGTTCGAGAGCGTGTGTGCGTGGTTACAGTATTAAACCGGATAAAAGTCTGAAGATATCTCTCAGTGCGGAGCTAAGTAGATATATAACAGAAGAGATGTGAAAAGTGTATGCAAATCAGCGTAATTTACCATGGGACACAATGCAGGGTCCAGCTCCTGACTCCTGATTTGGCTTAAAAGGATTAACCACGACAATCGCTGAAATGTTAAATATTCATGATCTATGGAGCGGCACCGTTATTTGTGTCACTGTATTTAAATGCCTTTAACTCTTACTTTCACTTTCATAATAATCGATAAAAAACTACGGCGTTCGAAGGTCCTTAGGAAAAGGTGAGTTTGTCTAAGAAGTTTTGGTATATTTTAAAGGTCTACAAAATATAGTAAACAACAATATTTTATTTTACTGGTTGGGAGAAATGCTCAGTGACGACGCGTTTAGTTTGGATCGAGTTTCAGTCGTTCACCGACCGTGCCATATCTGAGGAACTCCCGCATGTGTAGAAAGATTTCAACATCAGTACTGACGGAACTTAAATTGCTAATACGGAACTATTAAATAGATCTGTAGTTATGTTTTTCCATGTAAAGAAACAAAGCGCTTGTTGGCGAAATTCATTTTCCCAGACACGGATTGTAATGCAAATAATTTATTGAATATACAGTATACCAGATATAAATATACCAGATCTAAATATACGTTTTACTCCAAAGTGATTTATAAGGCGTAACTGCCTTCAGGCTTAAATAATGGTAGTTTTTTATGCCATATGGCAACCCTGAAATAAGAGTTGCTGCAGTAGTATACATTGCAAATATTTATGAAGTACGCAGTGAAAAACATATATATATATATATATATATATATATATATGCGCGCTCGGCGGCAGTAGGAGGGCTATGGAAATTACAGAGGGGCACACTACTGTGGCGAGCGAGCCACATATTATAGGGTGATAGGATTCTGGTAGCGCTTTCACTTTGATAAAGCAAACAGCGGCACAAACAGAACGACACGGTTATCAGTTAAGCCTATAACCTCCATGAGCTGAGGTAAGTAGGCTACTTAGAACTGCAGTTCGGTAGAGGGTACGATCATATTAACAAATTATATTTATTTTAGAAAATTTAAGATGAACTATTTACATGAATAGCAGCCGCAAGTCAGTCTGGTAGATGCTATGTTGTGATTTGCATTCACGATCGCTGTTCGCATTTATCAAGGCACAAAAATGAGGAACGCGATTTAGAACTTATTAAAAAAAAAAAATTCTAAAAAAAAAATAGAGTGTAGCATTGTCGTAGATAAACTGGAATGCATTAATGAGGGGCACGGTTAAGATTTCCACCTAATACATGTCAAGGATGAGCTACCCAAGGTTTTACAAGCTTCTTTAAAAGTGAAAGGCCTTTGCGCTTGGCTAAATAGTTTAGGAGACTGGCCAATTAACACACAGCAAGAACTTAAGTGAAATCCAAGTCCTTTTCTTTGAAATGGTAGACAAATCTTGTCCTAGCTCAAAGTGTCCTTTCCAACACGGATTAGGTCGTAACCCTAGGCACAGCACTACAAATGAGGCAGCAGTGCCCCCTGGTGACCCTGGGGGACGAAGGTCTGGGCATCCGTGCTCTGACTGCTTAACTCTCTAACATGAACCAGGACAACAGTATTTTGTGATAAAAAAGTTCTCAAATAGTTGTAACATTAGCACTGTTGTATATTGTGGTTTAAATTATCTTGTACTGTGAATTCATATTATGATTTAGGATTCATCCTATAATGGGCCAAGTCTCTTACATTTGTGTCATGGACTCTACAGAATATGAAATGAATGCAGGTTTTCATTAGACACCTATGCTGCATAATAACTGGATCTTCTTTGCAGAGTTGCTGAGTCACTTCTCTTTATACAGAGTAGTTGAGACTGCATAACAAAACTGAGATTATTCAGGTAAAAACAGGAGTGAGACTGTTCACATTGTGAAGGAAATGCAGCGTGAGATGATCAGGATCAGGTTTATTTGGCCAAGTATGTTTACACATGGAGGAAGGAAGGAAGTCAGAAAATACTCCCAAACAGGGAGAAAGAAACCTCTGGGGGTCCAAGGTCAGCTGGCTACCAAGCTCCCCCTGCTGTGAGACCCCTCCTGTGCCCCTGCTCCTCTGCATACTGACATTACAGAAAAATAAGTATGCTTCAAGAAAAGCAAGGTGTAAAACTATGGTTGTGGTCAAAGCCAAAGTCCATCAGTGAGCCACTTAAGTATGCAAGCAGACTGAAGGTAGCACCCACAATGTTACAGTTTGTAAGCTGCATCCACAATGTCACACTTCCATGGGACTGAACCAGCATTTGACTTAAATGGTGCCCACCTCAGGGGTCCAAACGTGTGGAGGAGAGCAGAAGACTTGGGAGGTCAGAAGATGCATAGAGACGCTGATGGCCATACTGTATACTGTAAGCAAATTATTGATAAAAGTGTAGGAGTACATGTCAGGGCAGGACTAGCTATAAGCACAGCCATAAATTTGGGGAGGGGCAGGGGGGACAGATCCACCCCAAAGTTGAGATGGGAGGATTATCCCCCTCGGGAATATCATATATAATATAATATAATTCCTTCCCAGAAAGCAGGCGAATGTGGCCCACTTCTGGCAAAGGTATGGCACTGCTGGCCTGCTTTCCAAAAATAATAATAAAAAAAAACATGATTAGTATATCTCGTCACATAATGTACAGATATTTCTCTGAGGGTTTTCAGCTTGAGAACCGCTACCCCTCCATTACAAGGGTTAAACTAAACTCCTGCACCACCTGAAAGACACACACTTCCAGACCTGCAAGCGAAGAGACATACAGTAGATATACTATATGGACAAAATAATTAGGATACCTGGCCATTAATTTCACCTACAAGGACTTGTATAATGTCCCATTCGAACTCCTTAGGCATCAATATGGAGTTGCAACTATAACAGATGCCACTATTCTGTGAAGGCTTTCTACAAGACTATGGACTGTGTCTGTGGGAATTTTTGCTCATTCATCCAGAAGAGCATTTGTGAGGTCAGGCACTGATGTTGGACGTGAAGGCCTGGCTTGCAATCTCTGTTCTAGATATTCTACTGCAACCGAGGAGCAATGCTACATTAATACTAAAATATACATTTAGGTCTTGTTTGGGTTATTTCTAAAATGATTCAGTCTGCTTACATTAATCTGTAAATTATACATTATATAAGGATTCCCATCTCCAAATGTGTAAAGATCCTTATTCATATATATTACCTGCAACACAATTCAGAAACAACTGTCATCTCAATTATTATTACAAATTTGCCAGTGTGAAGCTTAGTGTAAATCAGTCCAGACAAATTATCCTGTTAGTTGTGTAAAATTTTGCATGAAATACACTCTAACCTTCACATTTTATTCACTTGCAGTTATAGGCACTTGATGTAAAACAGCGTCTGACATCAATCTGTAGGAAAGCATGACTGGTGAGTCAGTTACCACTCTGGCTTTTATGCTCTGCTGCCTGGACCTCTGTGCTCTGTCTTTATCTCTCTGAAGCACATAGGCTGATGTTCACAATCTATATATAGAAATTCTTTTTATTGTCTAAACAGAACTAGAAAATATCTGTGTTCAGGTGTAAAAGACTAGAGAATGTTAACTTCCACAGCAATGTCAAATGTTCATTATGATCATATTTACAGTGCCTAGTGATAAACGGCTTGGCATGAGTCTTCAAACAGACTGAGACCTCTACAATGACATTGTGTTTCCCTCCCAAAGCACCTGCTGTAGTAAGAATTGTGCTGTTAGGAAAAAATGGATCTGGGAAGAGCAGCGCAGGAAATGTCATCCTGGGGGAAGAGAAGTTTGAAGTTTCATGTGGTCCTGATGTTGTATCACAAGACTGCCAAACAGAAGAAGGAAACTTAAATGGCAGAAGGATTTCAGTAACCGAGATACCAGGGATATTTCACACTGAGAGGCCTGAAGAAGATCTGAAGTATTCCATAATACCCTGCCTCACTGAGTGTGTTCCTGGTCCACACGTCATCATCTTAGTGCTGAGAGTGGGAAAATACACCAAAGAGGAGAAACAATCTGTGAAGATGATACTGGAGTGGTTTGGGAAGGAAGCCCTGAAGCACACAGTTGTCCTCTTCACACATGGTGATGATCTCGGAAGAAACCAGACCATTAAAGAATTTGTAGAGAGGAACAAGGATCTGAAGGAACTTGTTGATAAGTGTGGAGGTCGAGTCCATGTCATTGACTGTAAGCAATGGAAAGAAAATGATGATAAAAATGTACAACCTGTGCACCACTTGGAACAACTAAAGAAAATGATGATAGAGAAGGGAAAAGCTGGGGAATTACAGACTGTACAGGAAGTGGAGGAACTGAAGAACTGGCTATTGGGTCAAAGATCATCAGCATCTGATCAGGAACCAGGCCAAGGGTCAGGAAGACCTACCAGTTCTGGTGGAAACCTGCATGGATCAATGTACAGGAGCAACAGCTTTCAGATTAAACAGCTGCTGACAACCATAGACACCATGGTGAGAGACAATGGAGACAGTTATTACAGAAATGAAACACTTCAGGTAATAGCAGAAGCTATAAAAAGTGAGGTGAATAAGATAAAAGAAGAGCTGGATGAGAGAGGAGAGAAAGCAGAGGAGTCTGAGATCAGGAGAAGAGCAAGAGAAAGAGTGAGGACCAAGACTCAGAGATCCTTAGGAGGAGCTAATGTTGGGGCATTACTGGAGGCTCTGCTGGGTTTAGCTACAAGATCAAAACCATTTATATTCATATCTGGATTCCTGGGGGTAGTAGTAGCTGGGTTATACAAATACTTAACTTACCAGAACTAAGGAAGTTACTCCGGCATTAGGGTCAGGGGCTGCAAGAGGAGAAGGGGCAGAATCTGGGGCAGTTGGGGCATTAAGGCCAATTCATGTTTCACTTTTCCTGGTATGCTTTCCTTTGTGCACAGAGTAAGATAATGTAATTTCCTCATCAGGGTTAGTGCCAGAAAGAGTCCTTGCACATAACTGTCCATGGATTGTAAGCACATGTGGAAAAGTGAATCATGAACTAGGCTTTAGGGAAAGGAGCAGCAGCTAGAATGGAGGTGGGTGTAGCTATAGTGATTCTGGTTACAGTAGGGTGAAGTAACAAAAGTTACAGAGAGGTCAGACATTCCAAAAGATTTGCCGAAGCACTGGCTGCTTTCAGTCCTAGGGCTGGGCAAGAAAATGATAACGTTAGTTATCACAATATAAGGAAAATCGTTAATTAAATAAAAATTACAAAGCTTCATACATATTTAGATAAAAAAAAACAGTTTACATTTAGTTTACAACTTACAGTAACATAAAAAATCTCTCAGTTCACCAATTCCACTCTCCCCTGTTAGGAAGGACCACTCTCCTGCTCTGAATTAAGAATTATGCACCTACAGTAGATCAAATTTTACAACATACTGCCAAGTATACCAATATATACTAAGATCCCTGAAAAAGCACATGGGTAAAAGCCATAATGACGGTACCTCTTATCCTTAACTCTGAACATATACAAAATGCTAAAGGAAACTCACACAAGAGGTGTAACAGTTGTGACAGTTTAAACAAAGCTAATGACTGGTCATGTTAAGGGTACTTCACAGGTACAAATTCTCATAGAAATTACAAAAATTTACCAATTTATCTGCAAAATCCAAAACCTCTAACATCAGCTCTAGTTCCTGCCAGTCCTCAGAAGACGTTACAGGCAGATCTAACTGTAGATCAATGATGAGAGGATCCTCCCTCAGATGAAGGGAAACATAATTTCTCTCTGTCTCCACAGATCATTTAGGAGTAATGTATTATGGTCAACACTTTCTCGAAGCTCCTTTAAATCCAAAAACTGGTCTGTCAGCACATTAATGACCGTCAGCTCAAACCTTGAATTACATTTGTTTACATCAATTAGACGTTCAAAATCAATGTAATGATTGCAGAAACTTCAAAAGTCATAAGACTTGTCAACTGTGTGTAAACCAACTTGTAAACGTGTCTGATATGTTTAAAAGGAGTCTTACCTGTGCTTGTGCTGGCACTCGAAACTGTATTACAACTAGTGGATTTCTCCTTTTCCATGCTATGATGTTCCCGAATCCTTTTCGTGGTAGTAGATGGGCGTTCGCTATGTTTTTCAAATATACTGTAGGCACTGATGGTGTCCTGACCCTTTGCCCCTGATCCAAATCATCCTCTTCTGAGGAAACGGGTTGGTATCGGGCTGAAACTCTAATTTAGGGGATAAAACAACAAACAAAACAATTATAAATAAAAATAAATGAATAACAATAAAATGCAATAATATCTGCATTTCTATTGTACTGCATGGAGCAGCAGAGCATAAAAAAAAATTTTAAATAGAAAAAACTGATGTTAACTATATTACCACTTCTCAATTTATTCAAAACTTGCATTTGCCAAACTGCCAATTAATTTACTGCGATGTACATTTGAGCTCTCCTTCCTCTTCCTCAGTCCCCCTCACTGGCTTAGGAGTCCTCTCTAGCTCTCTTAAATAATTTAGGAGCTGAGACCAAGTCTTAACACTTAAGAATGTTTATGCATGCCACTTATTCTTAAGTCTGGGAGTAGGATCAAAATCACGTCACTCTTAGAATTGTGACGCATTTAAGAGTTAAATTTTACTCTGAGAAGTTTTATGCATGCCGGCCCTGGTTTCACAATACTGTAGTGCAATAATGCATACATCAAACTATTAATAGGCTATTTGTAATGTAACAGCAAATGTAATTAAAAATACTACTTCATGCTTCCATCTAGCTACCAAAAGCCATAAAAACAGGAGAATGTTCAATCTGTATATATTTTTAATAAATCACATGCAAGGCATTCAGTTCTCATTCTCAGTTGTCTGTGATGGAATCACTGGGTCCAACTCTGTGTATAAGAGAGAGGAACTGAAACAGAGACAGTATTCAAGATAAAAGATTGCTTGCTAAAATAAATAACATGATGTTGCATGGTAAGTGAAAGTGTGTTTTGTGTGTGTGTGTGTTCACTGTTGAAAGAAATGTTGAACACACTCAAACTTACAGGATCCTTTTGTAAATCTTGCTCTTGTTGTTTAATTTGTTTCGGACAGCTCCTCTCAGAAGGTTGATGTCTGTGTTTGGGAATTTCTTTGAAGTGTAATCTGCAAAGTAATGTGACAAATAAATCTCAAGTGTTAACAAACTGTAAAAGACATTGCAACATTTTAAAGGTCAGTTTCTAAACACATACTTAAAGGGAAAACTCTGGTCATTTTCAACCCACAGTCCTGTTGTTTGAGACCTGTCTGTAGGAAAAAGATCAAGAAAATTTGGTACAACAAAAACTAAATAGCAAGTACCCATTGGTTAGCTTATTCGGTTTATGTTGTACAAAATTTTGTCATTCTTTTTGCTACTGACAGCACTCTGTGATGACGATCAGCAGGGCTATGGACCCATGTCGCAGCCAATTTTCCAGGAAGTAGCAAGGTAAGCAAAGGTGTTATTAATTGTCTTCATGACATCCAATGAGGATCTGATTCTGTTTCAGAATCTTATTGACTCTCATTAGTAACACCTGTGCTTACCTTGCTACTTCCTGAAAAATTGAGGGGTATTGAATACACTGGCAGAAAAGCAGTACACCAAGACAACAAAAGGGCACAGGACCAACTGTAATCTGAAGGTAGTTCTACTTAATATCTGTGTATTAATGTCAGCCAGTAAGTAATACTAGTAATATTTAGACATATTCCAAAACTTCTGACTCTTCCAGTGAGCACACTTGGGACATTATCTGCCTCGGTGTACTGCTTTTTCTTAGTGTGTTTGTAACCACTTAACAAAAGTTAATTCAGGGTCGCGATAGCAGTTTACTACCAGTTCCAGATTTATTAGAAGAAACAAATAGATTCTGAACTGAAATGCATCTTCTTTCTCACTATAAAAAGGTAACAACAAAACCAAAATAAAATAAAATAACACTCTAAATAACACTTATTTTACCTGTAAAGTAATATGCTTGGATACAATTACAAGCAAATGCAAAGGTTTAAATTACAATTTGGAATTTATACATATGTAAAATAAGCATTGGTAGACATGAAAACAAATGAGTCATTCACCTCAGTTGACCTTGTAAAGAGCAGTTAGTGACCTGCCCGGAGAATGGAGAATGAAAAAATATATATAATTCCGTTGAATAGTCCTTCAACAAAAAAAAAAAATTGCACAGGAAGCTGGCCAGCAAACAAAAAATATATGACTGTGAATTGCAGATTACCTCATATGAAATGGGAAGAAGCGGGAGGGAAATGTATATGTTTTGCCTTGGAATGGTCCAAGAACCCCACTGTCAGTGGCCAAGACAATCCTCTTCTTTTGATAGCAGGAAAATATATTGTCACTGAAAATGCGACAGGCGAGGAGCAGAGCACGCAGACAGAGCGCACACACACTGCCTCTGTTGCAGGTATATACATATGAAAAGCCCGCAAATTCCCCACACATTATATTAAGAAAACTTAACTGCCAAGCGTAATGTAACAAAGCAATAAAATACAGAGTACCATCTGCAAATGGAAAAAAAAAAATTGTATGCGAAAAAACTGAAACATTGGACTTTTAAGTTAGAAATAACATTTTAAACATAGGATGTGAACTGAAAGCATACTTATAATGGGTATTAGGTGATTAGCCTGTCAATAGCATTAATTAGCTTTCTGTAACATACTCCACAAAAGCCTCATATATAAAATAATAATGCTCACCTAGCAGGAAAATATATTGTCACTGAAAATGCGTCAGACGAGGAGCAGAGCACGCAGACAGAGCGCACACATACACTGCCTCTGTTGCAGGTATATACATATGAAAAGCCTGCGAATTCCCCACTAAGAGCACTATGGTAACCAACCACCAACACCGTTTTTGGCACTGTCGTAACTCTTAAAGGGCCCTAAACCTCCAAATAAATGAACCAAGTAAAGCTAAGTTCAGCTGGGTTACATGTTCAATAATTTTTCCCCTGCCATTCCGTCATTGTAACAACTAACTGTGGGCTGGGTGTATTTATTGGGTTAATTAATGAAAACCTACCAAAAATAGCGTTGATAGAAGTGGCCTCCAAGGGTGGTTTCACTCCATTCTTGGCGCTCCCTTTTTGGCCAGTAAGCGATGAGGTGGCCATCTCCTTTCAGGTAAATACGACCCCAAGCAGGTCACAGACCAGCTTTGTTGGTTGAAGGTGATTGCACCTTTGCAGTTTAATCCTGCTGACCTTCAGTCCCTCACCAATGGGAACCTTGAAATTCAGATGAAACATCAACAACAACTGGGCTATGGGTTGACTCCATTGCTTTGAGGGGTATATGCAAATTTATGCTTTTTGATATACATACAGTACAACCAATCAGACCTTTGATTCCAAAGACATTTGCAGGGACAAGACAGAATGGGAGTCATCGTAATTATACACAAAATGCATTAAGCCCGCCACCATCTTCGGAAGGGGTAATAAACCTGTTTTTGATTGGATCTCAGGCAAGCAAATCTGAGTGGAGATAGGCCTTGTGGCCATTCTAAGCTGCAGAGTGAGATTAATTAATTAATTACTTAATTAAGGGATAGTCTGGAGTCAATGAACCCAAGCCCTGATGTTCGAAGTTGCAGAGCACTGTCGGAATAGGAACGAGAATTTGGTACAACGAAGGCCGAATTCGCAAATCAACAGGTAACACTAACTGAATGAGGCACAGAGTTTCCTTGCTCTCATCAGCTAGTGTTGGCTGCCATTTCGCTATTAGGTCTACATTGTACCAAAGTTTCTTGCTTTTATTCCTATGGAGCACACTCAGCAACCAACAGGGGCAGAACACATTTTGTAGGCTAATGAGTTTTTTTTTTCTTCTTAAAATTGATAACAAATTTAACAACATTAATGTACATACACCTGGTATGATTTAAGATTTAGTAGGCAATAATTTAATAATTTGCAGTTTATGCTAGTGCTCCTAATGGATTTCATGATAATTGATCACTACAATGTTATCAGTAAGTGTCAAGCAGGCTGGTCTTAGACCAGTCTTGTCAAATTCACTTACATCATCATTTGCGATATCTTGGGCCTGTGGAGAGGAGCTGCGAGTGGTGGCTTGTTCCTGGTGGGTTGTTTGTACGGAGATGGCTGGCTTTCTTACCAAAGTATTTCTCAACTCGGAGAGCATATTCCTCATATCTAAAATAAATAATAGACAGTAACACCCTTACAGAATCATTTAAAAATATTTTAAATGATAGTAGCTTTTGTACAGAGTTTGAATGTGCCCAACAAAGTTGTTCAACCATTTCAACAAAGAGCTACTATGCTATTTGAAGAAGACAGTGAAATAGGATTCCACAGGTACAAAATCTGGCCCATAAATGAGTTGTTTGTAAACTTGCCATTAACTGTATCCACCTGCTGAGTCAACCTCTGCCGATCTTCCTCCAGTTCTTTGACTCGCAGTTCAAGGTGTTTGCAGCTGGCACAATGAGTGACTGGGATCCCCTTAAAAATAATAGAATTGTTAGAAGATTGTCTACGTTCCAATCACTTGATGTCATGGGAAGACTTAAAGGGAAACAGTACCATTTGTGTCAGAAATAACAGTTTTAATTCTTTGAAAAATGTTTGTTAATGGAAGCACAAAGAGAAATGCATAATTTTTTTCAAGGGAGATTCAAGCCAATCAGGGCAACATTTGACATTCATAAAGCTGCTCAAGGGCACAATGGTGGCAGTCAGGATTTGAACTCATAATTTCCAGGCTACTTAGCATGCTAATCAGGTTCCTTAACTGCTACGACCCCACTGTCACAGTCTTGTAAAGCCAACATGTCTTACTAGCCAGGGATACTTTTAATAAAGAAGAAAGTAGATAAAGAACAGCTATGAGGTTGCTGTTAGGCATATCATATGTGTCATGGGTGATGAATAACTTAGTTAGCTGCTCTCTCCCGGGTTCTTTTTCAGTCTTAAAGAGTGAAAAAGAAAGACATCATGCATTTTGTAAATGTGGGATTTTTGTGTCATAACAAACAAAGTTCAACCAAGCAGACCTCAATAGATAGTTGACATGAGTGTTTATTTGGTTAAACAATTTAAATGAGTATGAGAAGAGTGATTTGGCAAAGCCTGTCTCTTGGTCGTCAGTTCCATCTACTCTGAAGCCAAAAGATCTGGCTGGGTGACCAGGCAGAAGGCAAAGGAGCCAACCCCCAAAAGTTAATATAATGGAGAGGGTGAGGAGTAAGACAACTGTACCACTTAGGCTATCAGGCGAGGCTCTAGACCTGTTGGGAGGAAACAGAAAACAATGTTTAGATAGTAACATCCTGACTAATAGAATGCAGAAATTGATCTTAAGCTTTTACAGCTGTTGAAGGGCTATTGAAATAAATTATGCGTCTGCAGAAGTACAGAGCCGTTGATTTCATGGAAAATCGTATGGGGATGCTGAATGATTTTGAGAGTGGTATGGAGTCACTGGTGTAACGAGAAGGCGTGGAGACACCAAGCACTTTGCCAGCAGTATGGAGCCGCAATGTTACTCCAGAGGTGTTATGGAGACGCCAAGCACTTCTATAGGAGAGGTCGTTGTTGATACGACGAAGCATTATGGATACGCTTAGCGCTTTGCCAGCGGTATGGAGCCGCTATGAATGCCGGGGTGAGCATCGAGGAGACAACAATGTTCGATGGCATTATAGATGATAAGTCATAACATTTCCAAAAGGGTATAGCTTAAACCACCATCAACGGCTATCTGAGAGATACTTACATCCGATGAAGCGATGACTCGCTGAGCCTCGAGGATCATGGAGGTATCTGCACGGACGTATGATGCAAAGGCGGAGGAGGACCATAGTCCTAGGAGTTTCAGTATTGATGGCGGAACTCCCTGATGAGATGCAGCGGAAGCAACTCCAATGCGAAAGGAGTGCCCAAAATAATGAGTGTGAGGGATCCCACAAATAAATGAGACTCTTTAGATGAGAGGTGAACCAGAGGTAAGACATGGGTGTGCCGTTAGGAGTTAGGAAGAGTGAGACTGAGGGAGTTAAACGAGGTCTTAGACGAAGATATTTTATCATGGAGTCAAAGGGACAATACAAAGTATTATTGCATGCAATG